CCAGGACAAGCAAAGGTTATAGCGTTGTAGTGACATTAAATAATTGCACAGGATTAGACATACTGTATACATGTACTTTATTTTTGCTTGGTTTTAAATTTTCGCTATTTTCGCTGAAGGAATGATTCAGTTAAAATAAAATCCAGCGAATATACACTTTTTCCTATATTTTACATTCAACTTATCAAAAATCGGTGAAAATAAATTCCATACAAAACGCCCAAAAAGTTTATATTCAGCGAAAATTATTTCCAGCTAAAATAAACTATTTTACATTATTTGTGAGATATTTCCACACTTAATAATGTGCTGTTCACATTTGATAAAGTATTAAAGGCCATATACTCCACATCGAGCTATAATAAAAAATTATATCAAACATTTTTCACGCAATATGTGTGACCTCGCAGTGAACTGAAACTCAAGTAATGCAAGATAATCACAAAAAAACCTTGATTTCTGGAAATTGTAATGAAAATTAGTGAGTCTGTGAAAGAACTGATTGGTGTTTATCTCAGATTATTTTTGTTAGTGTTATAAAAAGTGTGTAATATGCGTAATTTGCGATTTTGAATGATGCTTGAATCTTTCCAAGCATCCATATCATTTCGTGACAGTAACAAGTGTTTTATGCCTTACCGGTGTAATCTGGTACATCATCTGGAATATCTCGATCTAGTGCCAAAGCTTCCAAATTTCTATAGTGAGTCTGCAGATAGGGATTCTCGAATGCTTCACTCTTGTAAGTAAACTGTAGCTTTTTCACTATTTCCTTAGCTTTGTCCACCTGGTCTGTGTTAGCTGTTGATATAAAATGTATGTTATTTAAATTATTAAGGAATTGGATTTTATTATGCACAGTGCCCATTTGGTATTACAGTATCAGAATTTATCAAATTTTCAAATTTAGAACCAAAATTGACGTCAGTCAGCGATATTTTATCAAATAGTAGAGAAAATAGATGTCTATATTTGAGTCATCGTACATGTTAAAAAAATGACTTCAGAATGATAGACTTTTGAACGGACAGACAAAACCCAAATTACAAATTTATATGATTAAAAGCAGCAGTTTTTATACGCCACAGTCATTGTACAAATATGTGTAAACATGTAATGCATGCATGCACAACTGTGACACATGCTTTGAAAGGCACCTTATAAACAAATGAACAAGTCATTGAAAATGACACAGTCCCCGTTAAATTTTTTAAAGTTTTCTTTGTGCTTGTCATATTAAAGCGGAAGGGTTGTCGCGAGCGTGTCCTTGAAACTTGGATTCCAAGTGGCGTATACAACAGATTGTTTATTTACATCAAAACACATGTTCCGTGTAGTAGTAATATGTCCCAAAATAAAAACAGGCGTTATTCGGCCATCTTTGATCTGATTATGAAACACACTGATATGTATGATGTATGTGCCAAATACGAATAAAAATGGTACATAAATTGTGGAAATATAGTAGTAAGACCAAAAAGTCAGATGGCTGTCAATCAGCCATCCTTGATCAGATTTTGAAACAAATTGTCATGGACATGCATCCTAACATGTATAAAGTACAGACAGAGCACGTCCAAGATACCGCATAAAAAAAACAAAACAAGATGCCTGCCAGTCCACCATCTTTGATCCAATTGGAAATAAATCATCATGGACATGTATCCTAACATGTATAATCTACATTGTATGTACCAAGTTTGAATGACAACTGACAAAGCATGTCCAAAATACAACATTTTCAAAAAAACAAGATGGCTGCCAGTCGGCCATTTTGAATCGAATCGCTAAACCACTGCATGTGCATATGTCCCACATAAAGTAATAGGCACATGCAGAAAATGAACGGAATCAGTCCAAGGGATTCTGAGATATGACTCTGGACGCACACACGGACACACAGACGGAGACCGAATTATAAGTCCCCGTTTTCGGACTTCGTACGAACGGGGACTAATAAAAAGTGCAGAATGTTTATCACAGACAACAACTGTAACATCAGTGGGCGCTTTAATGCTCACCTCTTGGTGCTGATGGATAGTTCAGTTTTCTCAGATCATCACAGAATGGCAGAAAAATAACATGAAAACCAGCAGGTGTCACCTGTATCTTATGATCATCCAATTCTTCATCCTAGACACAGAAATGTACAAATGCCATAGTTGTCATCAATCTTAAATTGTTAAAAACAGCTGACAGGATTTGGTGCATCAGCTGACTAACACCAGTATATGTAATAGGTGATTACAACACTTTGGGCTGCAACAACACATTCATTTAAACAACATTCAAGTTGAGGTTAAACTTTTAAATTGTTAGGCAAAAAAAAAAAAAAAAAAACGCTAAAATTGCAAAAAAAACAGTCATTAGCCAATCTGATAAACAAACTTAAATTTCATTTTTGTCTGACCTTATATCTTTCTAAACACAAAACACTAAAATTGATATGCATATTCACATTGTAACCTACCTGTGGCAATAAGGCAACAAAGCGAGGTGGTGAATTCTTCCTTGGGATAAACCTACATATTGCTACAACGTCTCTTGCCAGACATTTCTTGAGCAGAGCCGCAAATAGCGTAGTGCTTCCACTCACGCTGCTCTCATCGGGGTGAATAAACTGAGCGGCTCTTACGTGGTAGTAACGCTTCAAACTAGACCGAGGTTTGAATCCCATCAGCAGGAGACCTACAATCAGATTATTGTCAGAGTTTGTTAATGTTTTCATTTGCAATTAATTGTTTGTACATTTTAATGCATTTTTCCTCAAATGGGTATAATTTCCAATTTATTTTGAAAATTTACCAAATAAGATGGGAAAACATTTATTTTGTGAAAGATGGCTTTGGCATGTTGGTCAATTTGCAGATTAATCAGAACATTGTAAAGCTGAACCCTCAAAACACCTCTATAAAACCGAGCGATTTTTCCCAGTCTCTGATGTTGGGTTAAGACATTGGGTTCACTGGAGACTATATTTAACTATTTCATTGCCTGAGCACTTGTAGAATGTGAATATTTAATCCAAAAGATTTTTGAATTGGTCAAACAAGAAAGTGAATACACAACTAGAACAGTAATACTGTAAAGTACTATAATATTCTTGCTTGGATTTAATTTTTTTACTGAAGGAATAATTCAGTGAAAATAAAATCCAGCGAATATACCATTTTTCCTATATTTTACATTCAACTCATCAGAAACTCAACAGAACTCAAAATAAATTCCATACAAAACACCCAAAAAGTCTTTTCAGCGAAAATTAATCCCAGCTAAAATAAAGTATTTTACAGTATACGAGTTTGGATTAACATAAAAAGAACCAGTCTGTACGATTTACAATGGTGGAACATTAATATTCTTTATTTGTATTGAACTCTGGGTAAATTAAAGCAATGATGTAATCATACAGATTAGCAAGAGACAGGTGTTTATCTGTTGCTTGGGATTCACAGAATCACTGAAAAGCCACAATGAAATAAATGCAGACGGAAATGTAAATTGTCATTTAATCAGCTTTACAAACTGAACGAATTTATATGAAAAACAAATGCCATCACATTTAATTATTGTTGTCATGACAACTTGATGATCATATTTATCTGCACATACAATAGATGTCTATCAGCATTTCATTGCTAAGTCATTGCTATTACTGGTAACAGCATAACCATAGCAAACACTATTTGATCATGACTTACCTGGTTGATCAAATTTCTTGATTTCTGTGACTTCATCGGCATCAAATATTATCCTTCGACCTCCAAATGTCTGAAACTTCTTGATATCGGAGGGCATTAAAACTTCACCAGTATCCTACGCCAAAAAGATAATAAATTTATCAAGCTTGTGACAATGATAATGTCCATACAGTTGAATTGATAACTATGAATGATGGCTGAAATGTGGTTGTATATTCTCCTTTTTTCAATTATGGTAAATATTCATTTTTTTTTCTGGTCGCCTGCAAATGTAAGATTTATTCTTACCTCACAATAGCGTGAAGTCTTAGTTTTCACTGTTTCATTGGTTCTCTTATCTAGATTAACTGCTGTAGGTTTGGGCATGGAACGAACAAGATTATACCTGTAGGTATAGAAACACAGTTTATACAAATGTTATTATCTAGGTATGAGTGACTGACTGCAACTTTATAACTGAAGAATATACCTGTCACACGCAACGTAATATTACCGTAATTGGTATAGTACAGGTGTGATGGTTCAAATACCAAAATGGCAACAGCAACAGGAAGAGGAAGACTTCCCTGGCGGCGATGATAAAATACAAACACGGAGCCAACAGATGAGGTTTCAACTGGTACTGGTATTATTATACTCTGCAAACATCAAGTACAATAACGCGGTAAAACTCCACTACTCCAATAACCAGATACTTAAACTCCAATACAATTCAACGAGATCTCCGATCTGAACTCAGTGCTGAACAACTCCCCTATATATACCCCCACTGTCTATAAATAGACCATTACATCAGCATACATAATGAGTCTGGAACTTACTACAAATTTCTAGAATGTTCCATTACCTTCTATTGTCTCCTACAGTGTTCTATTATCTATTCAACCATTTTCAAGAAATATAGAATATTCCACCCAGACACAGTACGGTTCTAGAACATTCTCAGTGACACGGAAGTGGTAAATAAGTCATATGCGACAATACCACAACATCTCAGACAATTAAATCCTATCCTATTCCGAGTCAGTTAATTACATATTAAGAGCACTGTATATTTTTGTTTAATATTTGTTATCGGGCTTAATATTTTATTGATATTTGTTTGCAAAAAGTGCATGACTCAACAACTTACAAAGATACTCCCATTTCCATTCCGTCACCGAGTTTAAATGACACGCGTCCCATTGACCGCTTCTTGTGATCCTTTGTGCGTACTCGGGTTAACAGCTCTTCAAATTTCTCAACAGGGTCTGGTAGAACGCCAAGATCCTCATCGTCAGGCATGAAAATAACATCCTTGAAAAACAAATATCACATGGCTTTGTCACAGGGAATTTACATGATACACAGGATTATACATAATTATTCAAATTTTGCCATGTTATAACATAGGACACGAATACAATGTGTGCATGACATTGGAATACTTTTTGCACAAGTTTGTGTTCTGCACAATGTTATCATGGATTCTCATCAGGCACAAATATAAAATAAACATAGGATGTGTTGAATTTTACTAACTGTAATCTTGAACCAGTGGTCCATCATTCTGACATCAATAATATAATCTTACTAAAATCACAATATGGCCTAACATGAGTCATATTTTTACAGATTTGTCATTAAATATATGGAGACAAATTCCAACAGAAAATTAAGTACTGTAAAATACCTTATTTTCGCTTGGAATTAACTTTTTTGCTGAGGGATAATTCAGTGAAAGTCCACCAAATATACTACCCTTTTTTCTATAGTTTACATCAAATTCAGTTAAAAACCAGTACAAATAAATTATATACAAACCACCCAAAAATTATTTTCCACAAAACTTAATGCCAGCTAAAATAAAGTATTTTACAGAAATCTACAGTAACAGTAAAATGTGTAAGCTCATATGTCAAATATATTATATTGTATATATATTCATTGAACTGAATCAGTATTTCAATTTAATTCATGTGTATGTCTGATGTTACCTGATAAAACTTTTTTATATCAAATGGTTTCCCGGGTGACTGCATATGCATGAGATCTAGGTCAATCCCAAGCTCATGTAAGTCCTTGGCCTTGGTCTTGGCTTGTCTCTGTAGTGGGATGTTATCAGCATGAGGGTCGTCATTGTTAGTGAACAATAGTACACGCTTATGTCCAATTTTCTGAGTACTAATAATAAGAGAATCAAAGAAAGCTTAGAGAGAACTCTCGTATTAGAGGCATATTTAAAATTAATTCAAAATTTAAGATTAGCCTTTCAAATAGGAAGCTTGGAAACTAATTATTGTCTGCTATTTGAAATGCATAACATGAAAACAATGTGATCCACAGCATTGAAGTTTAAAATACTCATAGAAAATAATTTTTTTGGTTGAAGTCTGATTCATTCCAGAGCACCTCTACCACAAGTTCAATTTAAATCTGATTTTTTGAGATACATGTATCAGCAATTGGCTAATAAACATAAGATAATCAATATGCATGGTTTTCAACATTAATTATGTTGATTAGCATCTATGTATGAAAATTCAATGAAATGAGATGATTTGTACTAGAGATATTAGTAGGAAAGCCGAAAACTGACTAATAATTATTTTAATTAGCTACCGGGAAATGTATTTTCACCAAAAACTAACCAGGTCTGAGCATCGTTCTAGAGCATCTATGTACCAAGTTTCACTGAAATGTGATGATCAGTATTTGAAATATCAGCAGAAAGGCCGAAAATTACCTAATTATTATGCAAATTAGGTAGTTAATATGTATGAGGATTTTTACCGAAAACTAATCAGGTCTGCACAAATAGGTCAAGGTAAGTGCAAATACTTCTATTATTTTCCTTCTTGATTGCAAGGTTTTATATGATTTCTGTTTTTTTTAAACATCTAGATGTACAAAAATGAACACTGACCATTAAGTTGCAGTAATTTCAGAAGGTCGTGGCATCAGTCTCGCTATCTACGAGATGAGACTTGAATGGGATCTTGACCTGATGTCACCATGTGATACTATGCGCGTTGCAAATCCCAAGTAATGTACCTCTGCTTATAGTTAATTATTATTAGGTTTTTATTTATTTATTTCACTCATATGTAAATCTACTGAATTTAACAATAGAATGTAATGCTTCCACAAACCAATGAATTTAAACCTTAGTGAACATCCACTAAAATTAAACTCAGAAAATTTTGCCTTCTACTGTGGCTTACCTTGAGGAAAACATATTGGAACATGTCCACAGAGCATCACTGAGATGAAAGTCACTGCTATGTCCATACCGAGTAGCAAAATCATTATTGTCATCGTTTTCTTAGTGAAGGGAATATAAATGCCACACATAAACAAATGATTGAAATGATAAGTGTATAACTTACACATGGTTGGCCATCAAGCAAGGTCTGGGACCTACTTGACACAAGCAAAAACTGTAAAGAGATTTAACATTTCGTGCTAGACAGATTTTCATGAATCAAAGAAAATTGCACAATTTCTGTACAATATTACAAAATGTGTAGTGCGAACTTTAATCAATAAGATTTGCATCCATCTTACCTAAAAATTCTTCTAGCTCAAGGATTCTTGAGGCACATGGCTGATCTAATTTCTGTGAATATTCAAATAGCACTTTAGGAAAAAATAATATTTTTTTAAATTCAAACATCTCGACACCTTCTGCCAGTATTGTTGACTGACAAACATCTCCTGTCAACTTTCACATAACAAAATGGGAAATTATGTAAATTTGCATGTATGTATGAGGGTCTAAAAACTAACTCTGCGACGCGATTGTGCGACTCGCCGAATGTCGATCATTGCACTCTGCGACAGGATCGCAGTGTCACTCTGCGAAGAGCACGATTCCTATTGGTTGGTGGGTGAACAGCACGAATCCCAATGTTCGATGTTCACAGCATGCCTTATAAAAAATTAAGTTTTAAATGGTAAAAATGGTACGGTAAAAAAAAAGTGTGTCAACACTATGTACCGGCGACATGCCGCACTGTTCGGTGATCGGCAAGCACATGGAAGACAAATTGTGGGACCAAACAAATGACACATGGTTTACGGTGATTAGACACATCACACCGCTAGCTAAAAAAATTAAATAGTGTAACGTGCACGTTGGTTTTGACTGCCTATTTACGGTGTAACGTTATCGCCATCTTGGAGTTGTAAGGTTTCGTCATAACGACCATGCTCATTAGCATAGGCGGCAGCTTCAAAGTACTTTTCTCGCGTTCTGCAACGAATGTTGTACGGTACGTCTGCTTTGACTTTGTTGAGTGCATCAAGGAAAATAATTTGCATGCAGTGAAAAAAAAATCATTCACAATGTGCAACGTTTTGCCATGACAGCAGTTGTTTGCAATCGTCTGCCTTCGTTTAGATCATGAACGGATCCCAAACTTGTGGTCTACGATCGATTAGCTGGTATTTTAACCACCAGAAATGAAATACTTTGTAACAGTTGTGAAAAGTAAACAAAAATGGTGTTGGTTTGTGGTATGAATGTAATTATTTTTGTATCATAATTTTCGAAGTCAGTATTACTGAAAATTATGATTCATTTTTTTTAAATGAACGCCAAATTTCGGTGGTCCATATTGATCTTAAGGGAAATTTTCTTTTTTTTTCTTGATTTTTCAATAATTGATAAAACGATTACTTTGTACCTTGATTCATCATCCCAGCTATTCTAAATTTCGGAAAGACCAGTGCTCAAACACTAACATTACTACCGTTTCGTTAATATTTGCATAATGTTTATAACATGTATATGTATACTACAGGTAATACTCTGTTGTTGATGATTCTGAACGGATGACAAGCTTCCTGTCGCAAACATGCATATTAATCTAACGTCTATTGTCAGCATTATTATCAGTCAAGACTTTGTCTGAGAAATCGTTTTATTTTTTAAGTCTATATTCTATTTTATTAACACCATCTTACTATTAAACGCAATGACAATGAAAAGAAAGAAAGCAAAGACGTCAATGACAGACGAGGCAAAGAAAAATCTGCAACTCTGGGTCATATTTACTAATTTAGACTAGCCTGCAGGCTGTTGTGATTCCGATGAAAAATTACAGGACTTTCGCGTTCACCCCTCGTTTACGCAAATTATATTTATTTTTCATGAATTATTCATTGTAATCGCAACAGAGTGCAAGCACGTCTAGGTCATATTATGACCAACCTCGCGAGTGGTTCGAAAGGGACGATTAGGCTGAAATATTCGCATCAATGCGAAAGAGTTGCAACTACTTAACCGATGACAACACCGACACGTGAGACCGTTGAGGGCCGGTGATCAGACGAGGAAGTGAGTACAGAAAATCTGTTGCTCGTCAACATCGGCCAAATAAACAAAGCCATCGTTCCCGTTTATGCAGAGACGCTCTCAGAGACACACCCATCTAATTTTCTGTTGACACTGCCGTTTTAGTTTTCTATCTTCAGCAGTAGTTTCAATCCATTCACACAGCTTTACATTTTTTCTCTCTTAATATTCTTAATAAAACGACATTGATTGCCTAGAAACAGTTTGACCCGCTACACGCTTTATTTGGGAATTCGAAGTGATGAATATAGCCATAACAAATTACACTTGCTAATGACAAAAAAAGAACGTAACATTGCGTGAAACGCACTCTACTCGCTTTAAAGCTGCCACCTATGCTAATGAGCATAGTTGCGGACGAAGCCTTACAACTTCAAGATGGCGTTAATGTTACCAGCTCCCTGATGGGCTCATACCACTAATTGAATTTCCATAGACGACAATGTTAACATATGACGAGATTGCTATATGAAAATGATGAAGAAAGTTGAAAATATGGCTCAAAAATGGGAAATCAACATGCCAGTAATCAACCATATGAAAAAAACTAACATGTTGGCCAGCTCAAACTCTTGCAAATCTCAGGTAAACAAGACACACCTACTGTATTTGGATTGCACCAAGAGAAATCACTGGAAAAACACCAAGATTAGAACATCCAAATACACACAGAATAAACCCACAGGTACACAGCCGCTAAGTAGTAAACAAAAGACCACATGTTGGTCTCACCTCTGACCCAGGTGATTACGCCCTCAAACAGGGAGCACCTGAGAAAAATAATATTTAAAAAATTTCATTGGTTCTTGCTGGGCATTTAAATTGAGGGCTACGAGCAGCCATTGGTTAATTAGTGGCATGAGACCTGATGTTACACCGTAATAAGGCAGCCAACACCAACGTGCATGTGTTTTGTAACTCCTTTCATCCCCTCCGGGAGATGTTATATATGTTAATAAATGTTAAATACTTGCTGATTACCGAACCGTGCGGCATGTCGTCGGTAAATACTTGTTTACCGTAGTTTGGGGGTAGTCGGCGAAATAACCATTTAAAACTGAACATTTCTATAAGGCATGCTGTGTAGGGTACACATCGATCAATTGGGATTCGCGCTGTTCGACCAACCAACCAACCAATAGGAATCGTGCTCTTCGCAGAGTGACACTGCGATCCTGTCACAGAGTGCAATAATCGACATTCGGCGAGTTGCACAATCGTGTCGCAGAGTTAGTTTTTAGACCCCCATACATACCTCAAATTTGCTATAAATTCAACAAAGAAATAACAAGAGAAAAAAAAGACAGCATACAAAGAGAATTACTCTAATATTTGGCATTACTGAAAAGTAAAATGTCAATAGAGGGGGGGGGGCAGAGAGGATAGCTGGTACAGGTTACAGGAAATAGAAACGGTATTTATTTTGGAAAATGCTTTATATGCTCACAAAAATAAAAAAAACAATTGATTACAGCTTACGACCCTCAATAAACAGAGAAAGTGTGTTAAAAAAAGTGGTGTAATTACTCACCTGAAGAACATAGATAT